TTTTTTATAGCGTTTTATACAATCGAGATAGTATTAAACAGGAATTCAGTTCAGTTTAATACCAGTGTTGATGTTGTAAAATTCATGAATTATTAACAAATTGGACCCAGCTATAACACAGAAGACAATAGTGTCATTATTCAGCTCAATTCAGTTGAAAATTTGTTGTCTTCCAATAGTGTCAGTGCTGTCAAATCGGTAATATTACTGAATATTAAGTGTCTATAAAACCACAATTAAGTAAGCCAAAGGCGACGATAGAAAGGAACCCAAACTCCATGAGGTGACAGAAATGGAGGGGAAAAAACCATGGGAAAAACCAGGCTCAGTTTGGGGAACCAGTTCTCTTCTGGCCTAAATGAATAAACATGGTGTGATGTTGATTGGGATAAGTGAAATTATATTCTAGGTCTAATCTCTATCTTTCATATTTCTGTTTTTCTACAGAAAATGAAGAGGAAGAAGAGGATGATATGGAGACGGAGGATCGAGATGGTGAGGATGCAGAAAAGCCAAGTATTATAAACTTTGACACGAGTCTGCCAACTTCACACGCTGTGAGTGTCATCTGTCATCAGTGCATTTAAACACCAGTCATGTGACTTGGCCTGAGGCTAATAAGAATTTTACTTTTTATTAAGTCATTTTGAATTAATTAGCATGCACATTATATGCAAATAGTTTATGGTCAGAGTTTTGCTATATGTGAAATCTCAATCTCTCGAAATAAAGGGTTGTTTTTGCATTTTTTTTTATCTGCATTTGTGTGTACGTTGTGAAGTATCTGGGCTCAGACATGGAGGAGTTTCATGGCCGTACCCTGCATGATGAGGACAGTGTGCAGAATCTGCCGGTCCTTCCCCACATCGCTCTCATTCTGATCCCAGGTCAGACGCTACCCTTGCAGCTTTTCCGACCACAGGAGGTCAGCATGTTCCGCAACCTCATAAGCCAAGACCGCACGTTTGCAGTGCTTGCACACAGGTATCAACAGACACAAGGTCCAGAATAATAGCTACTCCACATTAATGATTGCATACCTTTGATTTTTCTTCGAGAACATTATCCAAGCAGGTTGCAGTGGAGGGTTTGCAGGTGTATTGATATTTGTTACATTTGTACATGTACTTTGTAGTTTGACGTGTTTCTATCTCTCTCAGTTCTGATGCGAGTGGAGCGGAGATAAAGGCAGAATTTGGGACGACTGCAGAGATCTATGCCTTTCGTGAGGAACAGGAGTACGGGATAGAGACAGTGAAGATCAAAGCTATTGGACGGCAGCGCTTCAGAGTGCATGAAATACGCACACAAGCAGATGGGTAGGGGTATACACATACTTTCACTAGGTACTACAATGTGCCGTCCACAAAATGTACTGTAGTAATAAGCCACAATGCTATTTTTCATTAAATTCAAGAATGTAATGTGAATGAGACACTCCCATACACAAATATTTTTTGTTTTTTGTAGGATTCGTCAGGCAAAAGTACAGATTTTACCTGAGAGGATTCTTCCAGACCCTTTATGTGCACTGCAATTCCTGCCCCGCTTGCATATACACACACCACAGACCAAACAATCACAAACACCACCACCGCAGGACCGGTGCAGCCAGATTTATAGACAGGTGACTGATGTAAACACATCTCTTGAGATCAGTACTTCTCAACCAGGGGGCCTATTAGGAGGCCTTAGCAAACTTCCTAGGG